TAATAATTTTCAGCTTGAATTAAATTTATAGATTCATTAAATTCTATAAATTGATTTAAACATAATAATTTTTTTATCATTTTGAGTTAAAACTATTAACAGTTAACTCGATAAAAGCGTGTAACAGCTACTGTATAAAATAAAAAAAAATAAAAAAGATTATAATTGATGAAACAATATACGTAGATAATTATACTTCTTTGAATTGGTATGAACTATGAAACTCAAAACACTAATTAATAAAAAGTTTTTAATTGTTTTGTTTTTACAACAAATTAGTTAATTTTTCCTTTTTTCCTTTTCTACTTTTTAATCATAAATTCAGTAATGTAAATATGTCACATGTTCAATAGAAAATAAATTGTATATTCTACAGTTTCAATAAAATGATCAATCTTAAACCTGATAAGTATATTGTTTGGTTAATAATATATGATAATATTATGTGTCAATTAAATCAGAACCAATTTTGTCATCGATAAACGGTACATTTAGTTATTTATAGTGTAGTAGTGAACTTCTACGTTTTAGGACGTACCATGGCATTTTAAATTTTTTGAATATGGCCATTTTATACTTGATAATATTCTCTATTTTAAATGTATTTATTTTTAAATATCTATATTCTGCAACATTTGTACGACATCAAATTTTCTTAAATATAATAAAAGCTTCTATATAATATATTATATATATATTTTTTTTAACGAATAGCTCACAACTATCCTTACACTTTATTCAGCATATATTTTGTTACTAAAAAAAAATCAGCTTTGTTGACCTTAAAAAAACGAATAGGAAAACGTATAAAATCATTTCTGATACCATGAAAATATATGATGTATTCTGTCACAATGATTCAACACTAAATTCCAACGTCCATGTTTTATTGTTTTTTTTTTTTTTTTAATATTAAAAATGTTTTCAAGATCTTTAAGGGCCATAAGTGATGTAAGTCGTAGGTTGGGAATCAGTAGTATATAATAAAATAAAAATCGTATAGTGAATATAAAAAAATTAATTATGGTGGAACCTATCGACATTTTTAAATTCTAAGTGGAGGAAGGAATGTATTGATTTTACTATGGTGTGTGTAAATTTTTTTTTTGTTTGTCTGTCATCACGAGCAGCAAAAGTGCTTTGATTTTCGATTTCAGTACCTCATTCAATCAGAAAGTGAATCTAGT